GTGTGTGTACATCAGTGGGAAGCACAGACTAATTCCACCCATGTAAATGTTGACCTGAGCTGGGTGGGGTGTTTGTGTGGTGACCGAGTGGGGAGGGGCTTTGCATGGAAAGCTGCAGTAGAAAATAAAAGCTACAGTTCCTGTCATCATCGTCTCCCTCTCACTGTCCCTCTGCCCTTTACTCCCCTTAATGTGGGAAACCAGAGGCCATAAATGGTACACGCACACACACACATGCACACGCACACACACGAGGAAACAGTAAAGGAGAGGGTGATGAGGCGGATGATTTCTGAAGATATTGGTCTGTGCCGCTCTGTGTTGGCACTGTGCACGTAAATAACTGTGTAAATGTCAAAGAAGTTCAAGTTCAAGGAAGAAAAGCTGAAGCTGAAACTGAAGCCGGGTTGTTTTTTTGTTTTTAAAAACAGCAACAGGGCACAAATACAGACTGTGTGTTGTACCTGCAGCTCTGATCCGTCTGTTACTGTGACATTTTTGGAAACAGGCTCATTCATTATCTGGCAGAGAGCTACAGAAGATTGCTGACGCCATGACGTCAGCAGAGTAAAAAAGAAACTAAATATAAGTATGATGGGCTGCAGTGGACGTTCTCATGGAGATAGAGATGCCGACACAAACACAACACAGGGATGGCACATTCACGGACATGCACGCGTACAGGTATGCAAAAGCCTGACCCTGATAGATAAATACTACACACACATGCTAAACACACACACACACACACACACACACACACAAATAGCAGTCTATCCATCGCGTGTGTGATTCTCTGCTTGACGCATCGCGGCAACATTTTTCCCAGACACACTTTTATTTCAGTTTGGACTTTGGTCTGAGGGCGGCCTGGTCGCAGCCCGGTGTAATTTGCCATGAGAGAAGAAGACTTTGATCTACTGCAGCACTTTTCTTCTTCTTCTGTGGTTTCTGACTGTCCACTTCACCCAGCCTGGCTCAACACTGATTGCCCAGAAAAAATATTTTTAAAAAAAGCAGAAAATAGAGCTTCCACTGTGACCCTGATGTAACTTTCCATGAGTCATAATCGTACCTGACCTGGAGCTTTTCCACCGAATGAAACTGTGATTCTTTCCTGGTTTGTCCTTTTACACAAACAGCATCAACAAACAGGCTGCTTCCCTCCCCAAAAACAACCTGATGACACATAAGCAAGCCCTGCAGCATCTTCCCCGCACACTCACCTGAGACGGGAAATTTCCCCGAGAGCTATAAAAACCCCACGACATACAAGAAGGCATCTTTTAACACCTCTGGAGACAGTGGATCTTATTCACAGATAGACTGCGCGTATGAATGTTCGACCAAATCTGTGACTCATCTGTATTTTCTTACCACAGTTTGTTTGAACAAATGTAAAAACTTCCACAGACCATGCATACGCACAAGGGATGAACGTCCAACAAATAGAATGAAATAAATAAATAAATACATAGAAGATGTTTAAGGTAAAATGCACAAAATACTGCCTGAAAAGCTGCAAGCGGAAGTTTTAATTTAATATACTTAGACTTTCTTTGGAAGATGTTCTAAAAGGTAACAACGTGGACCAAACACAGCATATCAGTACTGGGGTGATGATTTGGGCACCTTGCAGTCATTGAGTTGACCATAAATTCCTCTGTATACCAAAGTATTTTAGAGTCAAATGTGAGGATATCTGGGTCATGAAACAGGACAATGATCTGAACATAAAAGGATCAAGGTGCTGCAATGATCCAGTCAAAGTCCGGACCTCAACCTTACTTAAGATACACCAGCTAACATTAGCTCAGGGAGAAAAAAAAAAA